CCCCAAAACCCCAAAACCCCAAAACCCCAAAACCCCAGTCTACGTATTTCTTGATGAATTAACTATATTAATAAAGATGCAAATGTTTCCAACTTGCACTAGACAAGGTAAGACCTTAAGTGTGACGCCAGTGAAGTTGGGGGATAGAAGACTGAGGGGTTTTAGGGGGTTTTGGGGTGGAAAGAGGGTTTTGAGGGATAAGAGGTGGCTTTTTGGGATGGATTTTATTTGTTTTTGTTTTGGGCTTAAGTGGTTTTATAGGATATTTTTGGTCTATTGATGGTTCTGAAGGACCGGAAATCTCAGATTTAGATAAAGAGGAGATCTTAGAAGGTCCATATTTTGATCCTGCTGATAATAATGAATCATTGTTTGAGATTCCTGCTAACTTGTTTGATGAATCTCTTCCAAAACTTGAGAGCATAAAATCATCAGATGATAACGGTGCTTACGTATGCTCAAGTGGAGACAAAGTTTGAAGTTCAGAAGCCAATAACACCCAGATAACACAAGAGCTATGTGGAAAGAGTTATATAGAAAAGAAAATTGAGTCTGTTGTCGTTACTAATATGTTAAATACGATTCATAAAAGGTGGGGGAGGAACCAAGATAAAGTATTATTCCAGACAATCAGAGATATGGAGCAAGATCAGATCATCACTCTTGATGAGATCCTTAACCTCAATTCTCACTCCAGCAATTATGAAGGCATTGAGCAACTGAAAGAGAGATCAGGCTGGAAGGCTTGCCATACAAAGCTCTTGGCTAGAATAAGATCCTTATGAGTATCCGAATTCTCTTTCAGAGAAATAAAGAAACTTAAAAAGATTTTACGGAAGGATTATAATTTCGGTGAAATAGATTACGACAAAGTGATCTACGAGTTCCCTGGTAAAACTAAAGGGACTCTCATAGAGCTATGTGGCAGACTAAAGCTCTCCTACAAGAAAAAGAGTTTGAGCAGTCTGAGAAGAATTAAGAATAAAACTAATAGCTCATAATTTTTAAGCTTTAAGTGGACTATTCTTGGGATGGATGAAACAATTTTTAATGATTATTTTAAATGATTTCGCAATTTCATACAAACATATTATCTAAGAGGAATATTTATACATAACTCTTATCTTCATGGTCTGCTTTGGGAAATTAAATTTTTGATTATTACTTATATATTAATTTTTGATTTTTTCCCCCTATTATATGTATCTAATATTCAAATAATCTCTTACCAACATTAAGCTCCTTATGAAAGAGAAACAGAGATTTAGGGAGCCAGAATTGTTCTTAATAATTTTCACAAATAACTAAATTCTTCTCAAATAAGCTATAAATAAAGACGTTCAGATAAAAAGAATTATCTGCTCAAATAAATTTATTTTCAGTCCAATTCTCGTAAAAAATAATCCTCTACCAAAGCTGATCATATTATCTATTTCTTTCATGCTCGTTAGCAGTCAATTTTTTGATCTCCTACTTTGATTCTATGAAATTTTGCCTAAACTTGCTACTGAGGTATAGTCAATTTAACTGCCATCTTTTTAATTCTAAAAATTAGTTAAGGAATCCTTTGACGAAATTTTGCCAAAACCTACTAAAAATAATAGCTTTAAGAATTAGTTTATGTATAAGAAAAATTGAAGATAATTTTACCTATACTCACATAATTTTCCGCTGTATGGCTAAATATTTTTTCTGTGCCTCGCTTTTAGGTTGCCTAGATATTTCTTCTATCTCTCCAACAACTTTTCGAATTCTCTAACATTTACGTCCCCATAAACTGGATAACCTGAACATTATCCTCTTATTCTACACCAATGATCAGCATTTCATCATAGGGAGTAACCTTTGCCCAGAAAAATATTTTTGTTCTTTTACCATCAAGGAACTTTACCTTGTCTTTTTTAGAGTACGTCTGTAGTCTTATCTTGAGCACTTGTTAACTCCTCTTCTTTTCTCCTTGAGAACCTGCGTCAACCTAGATGGTAGGGAGTTGAATTTTGGCTCTACATCCCTGATATTAGTAAAGGACCTGTTCTCACATTCATCCTCATGAGTTTTCGGCCTTCTTCCATTCTCTGTCATTTATTTCACAGTTATTTAAACTTAAAGTTTATAAATTTTATGAGATTATGTCAATTTGTCAAAATATCTGCCTATAGTACAATCATCTTATGATTCAAAAATTATTACCTGACAGAACTGGGAGATTAAGAATTTGGAAAAACTAAGTAAGAAAGATACTGCCACATTTGGCTAAATTTCATACTTTTTAATATCTTTATTTTGATAAATTATGGATAGTTCATAGTTGATATTGTGGAACTTCATTGATTGTTTTAAGTTAACTTTTTCGGGATATTTATGGAGAATAGTGCCTCTCTTTCGTGTCCTTAATTTCTTGTGTTAAGCTATTCGAAAGACCTAGAGATTATGAGGGTTTAGATATATATTTTGATTCTAATAATGTTTTCATAAATTTAGTAGAAAGGCTGGTTCGGTTAATTTTATTAAAATTTCAAAAAAATTGTTTTAACATCTCTCCAAACATTATTATTTGAGTTAGAAAATAACTTAAAAGCCTATTAGGAAAATTTTAATTCCCTAATTGGTATCCATCAGACTATTTTTATGTTCAGGATTTTCTTCATATAAATTTTAGATAAGCCTTCCACTTTTTCCAAGGTAGAAACTAAATAATATGTTCTAATAATTTTCTCAAAAATGAACCCCAGTAAAAACATCATACCAAATTCCTCTCAAAACCCAAACCCAACGATTACACCACCAACCACTCAGACCCTTCACCCCCACCACCCAACCCCATTTCCCAAAATCTCACCTCACCCACCCCCACTACCCCCTTACCTCTCCTCGCCCCTTCTCATCCAAAATCTGCTTAACCTCTCTAAACCCCTCTTCACCAATTTCTTAATCGTCACCCTTACAAACATATCCATTCAAATTACTTCTTTTCCTTACTTCAATAAGCCTTCACTCAGCCGGGGTTTTGGGGTTTTGGGGTTTTGGGG